CGGCCCCGAGCGAAGCGCTGCGGGGCAGTAAACGCCAGCGCCGGCAGTTGCGTTTTCCTCGCAACGCGCAGGAAACAGGAAGGCGAAAGTGAAATGAGATAAAGAAAGGGGGTGGGGAACACAAGCACAAAACTCCTAAAAAATAAAATAAAATAAAGTAAAAAATTAGCCACTATAGGAGAAGATCCCTTTTCCAAACTACCCTGACGCCCCCACTGCAGTGCACCGCGGCACCCATTCTACTTGCAGGGGTATGGCAAGGCACACAGGAAAAATATTTGGCCCTAAGTTAAGACGGCATGTCAGCGAGGAGTCAGGACCTGGCTCCCATCCCCACACTTCCCTGCTCCTCAACACCTGGCTCCACGTGGCACCGACCGCTCCTCCGGATCAGCAGCAGATGCAGGCCTGCAGATAAGGCAGTGGCACAACATTCATGGCTTCATCACTAACATTTAACTAGCCTGTGTCTCAGCTTCCTCCTGCGTGGACTGGTAGAACACTTCAAAAGCACTTAGTGCCTACAGTGGGGGAGCTTAATCATATGAAGAGTTGCGTAAGAATCACAAAGGTTATTTTTGCTCAGAGCAGGGATCAACAGGGTGTACAGACAAGGCCCTGTGTAATCTGGAATTCAAGATCGAATCAAGCTATGCTGCTAGGGAGGGATGACTGAGGTCCTATTGCCTGTGGAAGGACTTGGAGAAATGTCTTTACAGCCGCACTAGTCAGAGCGGTGCTCCCGGTGGCTGAGGGCAGCAGAGGTTCCAGATCCTCCCCGTTTCAGTGATCTCATTATCAGCCATGTTCCAGAATCACTAGACAAAACATAGCTTCAGAGAAGATGCAGGAGGGCAAGGAGAAAGCCTTAAATCACCTCAGAGAGAAGTTTCTTCCGCTGTCTCGGGCTTAGACATGGATGACACCTCAGCGTCCACGGGGTACTCCACCCCACTCATGGAGAGGAAGATGAGTGCTATGGCTTGCACAGTCTTCAACGAACTTCGCCTGGAAGGAAAACTCTGTGACGTGATCATCAAAGTCAATGGTTTTGAATTCAATGCTCACAAGAACATCCTGTGTAGCTGCAGTCCCTATTTTAGGTCAGTGCTCGAAACAAGTCTAGAGAGAGGATAGGGACAAATAGTGCTTCCTGGTCTATGTCACATAGTCATAACCTAACCCCAGTGCTTACCTCAGCACTAAACCTCTAATCCAACAATTACCTGTAGTTCTAATATCTGCCTAGACACCAGAATTAAGGCACAATCCAGTATTTAGCAACAACTCTGGAAGTGGAGTCTAACACAAATCCATAGGTGTGGTACAGGGCTCGGGAGCGCGACCAGTCTGCCAGCCTGCCTTAATCTTCCCTCTAGGTGAGAGGTTTTAATTCCCCCACACCGTGGCTCTTTGGTATGCTTGCTGAAGCAAGGTGACCACTCACCCCACTGCTCCCTGTCCACAGCCTGAAGCTGCAACTTGTTTTTAAAACAGCCCACCAGCTAGTAAAATATTAATCGATACACTGCATGGCCTCCCCAGCATGGCGGCTACTGCTAGCGCCTTGAACTGGTGCCCAGGGGTCTGCATCACCCCTGGCTCAGGGAAGAAGGGATACATGAGAAGGGGGTTGGCTTTAACAGAGCAAGGCTGTTTTTGTCCCCAGCACCGCTTCATTTTTTTCAGGGCTCTGTTTACCAGCGGCTGGAACAACACAGAGAAGAGAGTATATAACATCCCTGGCATTTCACCTGACATGATGAAGCTAATTATTGAGTACGCCTACACCAGGACAGTGCCAGTCACTGCTGACAATGTTGAAAGTTTGCTAGCTGCAGCAGACCAGTTCAATATCATGGGGATCATCCGAGGGTGCTGTGAATTCTTAAAATCTCAGCTGTGCTTGGAAAATTGCATTGGTATCTGCAGATTCACAGATTACTACCACTGTCCTGACCTGCGACAAACAGCCTACATGTTCATCCTACATAACTTTGAGGAGATGACCAAGGTGTCCACAGAGTTTCTGGAGCTCTCCGTCAATGAGTTAAAAGACATCATTGAGAAAGATGAACTCAATGTGAGACAAGAAGACGCAGTGTTTGAGGCTATTGTGAAATGGATTTCTCATGATCCCCAAAACAGAAAACAGTACATTTCTGTCTTGCTGCGTAAGGTCAGTGTTGTCACAATGTCATTTCTATTTCACTCCCAGATGGCACTGGAGAGCTAGGTATCGCACAGCCAGGATGAGAGTTGCTTTGCTATTCTTTTATAAAAATGGAGGAAACGACAGTCTCCGACCACTTTGATTGCAAAGAAGTGAAGTTTCAGACTGTTGTGCTGTTGGCATGCAGGGCCACTGGTCAAAGATCCCGGGTTGGGGCTGTGGCATACACTTCCTCATGTTTAGAGCTTAAGATTGATCACCCCTCACATCCAGGCAGGGCCAAAGATCACAGGGGACAACACTATCTCTGTGTACACAAAACCTGAGTGTTTGGCTAGACAAGCTAAACTATGCAAGCAGCAGCAGACGTTAGAGCGGTTTCAGTCTGCATACAGGAAAGCACCATGCCAAAGAAGTGGACTACTCCCTTCAGTGAAAGCAGATTATCTGTCCCTGCGTACCGCTTTCTGGACTGGCTAAAAATGACACATTTAATTCTCCCTCACTTTAGACACTTGCGCTAACCTATCTGAAATCAAAACCGTCCAGAGTTGGATATACCCACGGAGGATACCAAGATGCAAAGCATCAGCATTAACAGTCTAACCTCCTTTTACCTTTTCCAGGTTCGACTGGCATTGATGCATGCAGAGTACTTCATGAATAATGTTAAAATGCATGATTATGTGAAGGACAGCGAGGAATGCAAACCCGTCATCATAAACGCACTGAAAGCAATGTATGACCTCAATATGAACGGTCCATCTAATTCTGATTTTACTAACCCCCTCACTCGGCCTCGTCTGCCATATGCCATCCTGTTTGCTATCGGTGGCTGGAGCGGGGGGAGCCCAACTAATGCCATTGAGACATACGATGCCCGTGCAGACAAGTGGGTGAATGTCACATGTCAGCAGGAAAGCCCCCGTGCCTATCATGGCGCTGCTTACTTAAAAGGTTATGTCTACATTATCGGAGGATTTGACAGCGTGGATTATTTTAACAGTGTCAAACGGTTTGACCCACTTAAGAAAACATGGCACCAGGTTGCACCCATGCATTCGAGGCGTTGCTACGTTAGTGTCACTGTTCTCAACAACTTCATCTATGCCATGGGAGGGTTCGATGGATATGTGCGCCTCAACACTGCAGAACGGTACGAGCCAGAGACAAACCAGTGGACACTGATTGCACCCATGCATGAGCAGAGAAGTGATGCTAGTGCAACCACACTGTATGAAAAGGTAAAACCACCTTGAGATTATTGAAGGCTATTAAAGTTGAAGTGCTCCCTTCTGGTGAGCAGGACAAGAAACCAAACTTAAACATAAGTTTGCAGCATTACACAATGAGCGAGAGCCTTGTCGTTTCTTACGACACGTATCGAGGTAGGGACTTCCACAGAGCTCAGGCTCTGGCTGGGCCACGTACTTGACATACTCAGCTACCACCCAGAATCTAGCTAGAATAGACAAGGGAGTTGTGGAAGCAGGAAATGTAACAAATGCTCCCCTTAACATGACAAATCATTTAAAATAAAGAGGAAAAAAGTTCATGTAAACTTTACTCATGAGATCCTCATGCTGCAGATATCAAACTCTCTGAGATGCAACAACTGACTAGCAAGTTAGAGGGGCAGATAGGAGCTTTAAAACTCTTCCAGAGCTGCTTACCACCAATAGCCCGCTTGCTGCTGGATGATACTTCTCCTGGCCACAAGTCAAACGCCGTGTCTGTATGCTTCGTGCAGTTCAGGAAATAGAAGTTCCAAATCCTGCTGCCCTGGATAACTCACAGCGCTTGTATTACTACAAACCCTGAATGACAGGTCTATTCCTACAAAAAAAAAGAAAGAAAGAAAGAAAGAAAGAACATACTAAGCCAGGCTATTTTCTCCTAGATATATTCTCCCACTGATAATATAAATACCTTGCCCACATTTTTTTTTCTTTGTGAACAGGTTTATATATGTGGTGGGTTCAATGGAAATGAATGCCTATTCACAGCTGAAGTATATGATGCCAAAACAAATCAATGGACTCTTATAGCACCAATGAGAAGCAGAAGAAGTGGAATAGGTGTGATTGCATATGGAGAACATGTGTATGCGGTAAGGTAGACGTGCTGCCTTTGCCATAACAGCACCTAGCACTTGCAGCGCTCACTTTCATTTAACGTATTGAACCTCTGCTAAGCTACATTTCCTAGGCTGATTTCCATGCTGGCCATTTGCTTGCAAGTGAGATTTAGGGAAGCAAGTCTTAGCCAGAATGGTTGAGATGCCTCCTGGGA